GGGGCGACGGGGACGCGGTGGATGTCGGGGCGTCGCAGGGGAGGGGTGAGGGGCGGCCGGCTACGGCGGATGGGGTTGGCAGCGGTGGCGCGGGTGTGGGCCGATGGGGGATGGGAAGGAGACAGAGAGAGAAGTGAGAGAGGACGGGGCTGGATGGCCGTTAACGTACCCATCTCTTTGTCGTCCGCCAACGGTTAGCAAAGAATCTTTGTCGTCCGCTGGCGGACGCCAAAGAGGTGGGTTCAGTGGGTCGTTACGGGTTAGACATCTACTGGACCCACTCACCTCTTTGCCATCCCCCTGCTGACGGCAAAGATTCTTTGCCGACTGCTGGTAGATGATACGTCTTTGTCGTATCTATAATTTTTGATTGTTCCATGCCAATATTCTACAACTTTCATATACTTTTGGCAACTTTTTATATTATTTTTTGGGACTAACATATTGATCCAGTGCCCAGTGCTAGTTCCTGTTTGTTGCATGTTTTATGTTTCGCAGAAACCCCATATCAAACGGAGTCCAAACGGGATAAAAACGGACGGAGAATTATTTTGGAATGTTTATGATTTTGGGAAGTAAAATCAACGTGAGACGGTGCCGGAGGTGGCCACGAGGGTGGCCCGCGCGCCCACTTTCACTGGGCGCGCCCCTGACCGTTGTGGGCCCCTCGTAAGGCGGTTGATGCTCTTCTTTGGCCGCAAGAAAGCTAATTTTTGGAAAAGTATCTGGGTGAAGGTTTCAATCCAATCGGAGTTATGGATCTCTAGATATAAAAGAAACAGTGCCAGGGCAGAATCTAGAGCGCAGAAACAGAGAGAGACAGATAGACAGATCCAATCTCGGAGGAGCTCACGCCCCTCCCATGCCATGGGAGCCAAGGACCAGAGGGGAAACCCTTCTCCCATCTAGGGAGTAGGTCAACAAAGAAGAAGAAGAAGAAGGGGGGCTCTCTCCCCCTTGCTTCTTGTGGCGCCGGAACGATGCCGGGGGTCACCATCATCATCACCGCGATCTACAACAACACCTCCATCATCTTCACCAACATCTCCATCACCTTCCCCCATCTATATTCAATGGTCCACTCTCCCGCAACCCGTTGTACCCTCTACTTGAACATGGTGCTTTATGCTTCATATTATTATCCAATGATGTGTTGCCATCCTATGATGTCTGAGTAGATTTTCGTTGTCCTATTGGTGATTGATGAATTGCTATGATTGGTTTAATTTTCTTGTGGTTATGTTGATGTCCTATTGTGCCCTCCGTGTCGCGCAAGCGTGAGGGATTCCCGCTATAGGGTGTTGCAATACATTCATGATTCGCTTATAGTGGGTTGCTTGAGTGACAAAAGCATAAACCCGAGTAAGGGGGTTGTGGCGTATGGGATAAAGGGGACTTGATGCTTTAATGCTATGGTTGGGTTTTACCTTAATGATCTTTAGTAGTTGCGGATGCTTGCTAGAGTTCTAATCATAAGTGCATATGATCCAAGAAGAGAAAGTATGTTAGCTTATGCATCTCCCACATAAAACATGCTATCGGTCTAGTAAAATAGTCAATTGCTTAGGGACAATTTCACAACTCCTACCACCACTTTTCCACACTCGCTATATTTACTTTATTGCTTCTTTATCTAAACAGCCCCTAGCTTTCATTTACGTGCTCTTTATTATCTTGCAAACCTATCCAACAACACCTACAAAGTACTTCTAGTTTCATACTTGTTCTAGGTGAGGCGAACACTAAGTGTGCGTAGAGTCGTATCAGTGGCAGATAGGACTTGAGAGAATATTTGTTCTACCTTTAGCTCCTCGTTGGGTTTGACACTCTTACTTATTGAAAAAGGCTACAATTATCCTCTCCACTTGTGGGTTATCAGCG